TCATAGGGGGGCTAATAATTTCTTCCTGATGTGTACATTATAGTGATGTGGATGAAAGATAATGACAAAAAAATGAGAAAAAACTTTCCCAAATAATTCCCAAAGGCTTTATTATGTTTCAACTCCACTTTAGGCCAGACTGTCCGAAGCAGAATCTTGCTCTTTGAAAAACTTTAATTGACAAATCCTAAAAATCTTTGGGGGGTTGAATATTTCTGATTGCAACTGTATATAAAGTGCAACCCTATTTATAGATAAAGTTCTCTTTACCTACACGTAGCCCAGCACAATGGCTCCAAAATGCAAAACATTTCTGTGTCATCATCATCTGACATCACAAACCATTGCAATATGATATGTTTCAATATAGTCTTACACCTCTACTGTATGAATGACTGTAGTCTTTTGATGGTGATTGCAGGGGCAGATCCAGTGGGGTGGGCGCCACAGGATGGCAATGATCACTCCTAAAAAATGTGTGGTCACCCCAGTTTGGTGTCAAATTTAGCACATTTTGGTTGATACTACTAGAGGGAAATGTTGGGTCTTTATTTTTTTTTTAAAATGTCTTCATGATAAAAAATGTGGAATGGTTTCACTCTACTTTTAATCCAGTGACTGTGAAGAATGCTGGGAAGGCTGTCACCACATGAGAGGGAAACTACCTATAAGAAAAGGAAATGCAGCTACAGCAAAGATGGCGAAATTACAGGAGTTCTAACAGGGTGAAGCCAGTGTAAGGTGACTAACGCAGACTTCAGTTTTCAGTCCAGTGTGTAACACTGAGGAGGATCTATTGTCAGAAAGTACTCATAGGTATGTTTTCATTAGTGACACTAAGAGATACTGGAACACACACCTTACAATTTGTTAATAACCACACATTCATTGTATCACAGATAGGAACCTCATCTCCCTGTTCTTTATTTCGTTATCTATACTGTTTCCACACATCCTGTTTATGTTTTATTGTGGAAGATAAGCAAGCCGGTTTGGGAATGATTATAAAACACATTTTAATAGAAAAACTAAGAATTATATATTAAAAATTCTGTTTACTTTATACTTCCACCACTAACACGTAATGCAGACATTTCATTTGAAGGCTAACAGTAACTACATCGTGCCGAATTGAAGTAATGACGCTCGACAGACGGTTCCTCTTCGGTAGGATGTGTTCTTCAGTGAACACAGGATGTTTGATTGGAGAGTAACGTTCCTGGACAATGGGAACACGGAGGGGGCTAACTTACGTGTTGCTGATGCTCAAGTAACGTTACGTACCTTGCTAACGGCTAGGCTAGTAGCTAGCTACTGTCTGAAGGCTGACTGAATGAAAAGCAGCACGTTAACGTACCTCCCATTGTTCCAGGAGCCGTGCCATATCTGCATCGTTGTAGTCTCGGATATCTTTCTTTTTCTTAGGCTTATCGTTGCCGTCAGCCGCTAAAATGCAAAGTAAATACGTGCAAAGCAGGAGTACCGCACACTTCCACCTGAAGTCGGACGCCATGTTTACAGATGGTGTGTTCTGATTGGCTGTGGAGCGTGCCGGTCACAAGGCGGGAGAGGCGTGTCAAAGCTGTGAAGAGCCCGGCCGGTAGGACACACACCATCTGAGGGAATTTCAAAATAAAGCCAGAATTATACAATGGTAACATTTTCTCTCTATTTCATTTTTGCTCGCCTTATACATTTTCCATCCATCTGACTGTAAATGTTTTAAACACATATGCCACAGATCAGATTAAAGCATTTTAAAGTATATTTTTGTACACTTTCTTGGACTCATTCATATTTATTTCTAAATAGCAGAGAAATCAACGACTTGTCAGTCAGTAAAAGTATGTCACTCAACAATCACATTTTGCAGCTAACTGCAGTGGCACATGGATAAGTGCAAGATGTTAAAGAGACTTCAATAATGAAATTCTTCTTTGTACCACAAATTATGCAAATGTGTTACAAATGTCATTACACAGTTAAGCTATTAAACTGAAGTCCAGTGGAAAATTAATAAATTAACTTACGCATCTACTTTATATATTAGTATTTTTCAGGGGTTACTGCATTTATTCTCTTTGGTCCATGAATAGAAAATCATCACATTGTCCTTTAAATACAGTAGTGTTTAAATGATATCTCTTTTTTGCACCATAATAATAGAAATATGTCCATTAGCTGGAGTAAGGGAGGAATCTCTGTCATGTTCAGAGGCAGGAAACACAGTGGATGATGGCCAGTATTACACACATTACTCTAACTTTGTTGCTACAATCCTCAAAAAAAAAACCCCAAAACCTTATTTACCCTCAGTGAGCATGTGGTGATATTATTACTGAGATGCTGTTAGAAAGCAGTGTGTGAAGACCAGCAGAGCTCACAGGGTTGTGGAGATCAGAGATCAGCCGAGCTGACACAAACTGTGGAGCTGTTTCCTCTCGGGCCGACTCCACCCAATGGCACGGTGCCCTGTGCAGCTGCAAGTCCCTCTGACAGTACAGCAGCACTCACACTCACTCACAGTGTGTGCATCAACCTCCTACCAAGAAGAAAAGAGGGTTTGTTACCACGCAACATACCTGAGCTTCATCATTCCCAATGTGCACAATAGAGAGTCCATGAAAGACACACGGAATACTCAGTGAATTAGACTGCATTATACCCAGAACACAGGCACCATTCCTGTAATGTCCCCCAAAGTTTCAAGTAGAGTAATATCTTTTTTATATCTGTGTATTGGTCCATCCATCTTAAATATGACATATAATATAAACAGTGATGAATGCTTTCACATCAGCTTCTGGCATATACATTTAATTTGGTCTACTTATTAAATACAAATCTTTAAAATACGTAGTCTTAACCAGTGGTGGAAAGAAACTAAGTAATTGTTCAAGTACTGTACTTAAAGGTTAGGTGAGATTTACAACATTCATATAGCAGCAAACAACTATGTAAAGATATAGTGGAGTCATGGTGTCCTGAGCAGAGAATGACGTCACACTCTCTCTGCCTGTGTTGTTATCGCAGCCTCTCTGTAATTTGATCAAGTGGGTATTTGCATTATATGCTACAGAACAATGGTTCAAAATCCAAATAAATCTGGTTTACAATTATATAAAACACCACAAAACAGGAAACCCTTGAGAATGTTTGGTATATTTGCTTGATAAATGCCTTGACTGAACTAATCAATAGTTTCAGGGCCTAGTTTAGAAATTGTACAAGATGCCCCTGGTGGACAGCGGAAGTACTTAAACTGTCTGCAGTTTGGTACTCAAATACATTTTCTAATAAGCCGTAACAGGCACAATAAATTAAGAGGAGAGTAAGGGACATATCAATCAAGCAAAGGCCTGAGAGGAGGTCACTCAAAATAAGTGACACCTGTGGCTAAACACAGTTTATGGTGTTGACCATGGCCAAATAGGCATCTTTAAACTACCCTGCAGTTTATAAAATAGTTCCACCTCAACCAGCTATCTTAAAATGCTTAACATTAGGCAATTCATAAAATAATCCACGAATAGAAAAATATACTTTTAAATTCTGTATAATTAGTGCTTTTACTTTGATAGCTTCACATATTATCAGTCTCATGGGTCAGGATATAGTGAAAGTTTCAGCAAATATGACAAAAAGTTATTTATATAAAAGTTATCTACTGCAGTTTTAAGTAAATTTTTGCTGATAATAGTTTAACTTAAGTAGAATTTTGGATGCAGGACTAATTGTAACAGAGTATGTTTACTATGAGGTAATTAATAAAGAATCAGAATTTTCTTTCACTGCAAAATACAATACATCAAATATGACTGTCCTTTTTTTTAGAGAAACTCGAATAGTTACTTTGAATGGATCATATAAAATATTGTAATTATACAGTTCAGTTTAATACAAAATAATTCAACTCATGACCATGATACAATGATTTATAGTAAATGTGTGAGGTTCGTTAAATCAGTTGATAGTGCTGTCATAAACACAGTATGAAGATCCTCAGAAGTCAGTAGTGTCCAGTGATATTTTGGTATCAGCATCCTGTGTTAAAGAATCTGTCAATGTGTTCAATAGGCACAAACACTAACGTAATATTTTGGCTTTCATTCTCCCACAGTGCTCCATTAAATACAGTGAAGTCCCTCCCATACGACAGCTGGATTGGTTCCCTTCATTCTTAGCTCTTCCCATCAGCTCTTCTGATTGGATACCGTCCACATCTGCGTTTAGTGATTGGATGACGACCTAAACGTCAATATTTTCAACAGTTACAGGATCCACATTTCACCGCCCATGAGATAAACCACAGTATGAGGTTATGGAGCAGTGCTGGGAGGGATGCATCCATGCTGCTGTGTCATATAAACTTCCAAAACATAACAGTAAGAGTCATGTACCAACCACTGCGGATCTAAATAAATATTTTATTAAATGATGTGCCATTTAATACAATTAATAACTCATTTGGCCTGCAGAAAATCTGCCAAAATTTAGGAATTGTCCTCCTTTGCTGTTGTTTTGATTATGTAAGCTTATAAATTCAAAGAGATATTCTTAAAGTATTTGTACATTAACCTGAAAAAGTTGATGTTCTATCTTTTAAGGGCACTTATGCCCTTTTACACCAAAATAGTGCAATTACTGTGGATTGGTTTAGAATTCACATGTGCCCTTTTGCTAGTAGATTTAATATAACTCGTATTCGCCCAAAATGCCAAACCCTGTTTGTTCTCACCCCTTGATATATATTATATATAAAAATGTCTACTGCCTTCCAATTCATGTAACATTTGCACTACTATGTTTTCATACTATGTATGTAGTGTTAGAAAAATATCGAGGACATGAGGGACCTCAGCTTCAAGTTTCTGCATTACACATGAATAAGTTGTATACTAGACCAGGTTTGACTTCCAGAGGGGTGGCATGGGGTGGCAGACTCTTAAAAATTGCCTGGCCACTGCAATTAGTAGTAGCTGGTGTCAAGTGCTGCTCATTAATTTAAATTAATTTAAAAAATAACATGTTATAAAACAGAAATTAAGACATATTTATCCGTGTGTAGAATTTAGTGACATCTGGCGGTGACGTTCGAAACCAACTGAAACCACTTGACTCATCCAAGCATGTAGGAGAAACTACAGTGGCAGTGAAACAAAAACAAAAAAACTAAGAAACAGGAAAGGCCCTATATAGAGTCAGTGTTTGGTTTGTTCATTTTGGGCTACTGTAGAAACATGGTAGTTCAACATAGCGGCCTCCATGGGAGAGGACCCGCTTCATCTGTAGATAAAAATGGGTCATTCTAAGGTAACAAAACTTATGTTCAGGTGATTAATGAAAAAGACATGTATTTGGAAAATGTCTTAAGAAGTTAAAAAAAATGTGATTTCTAATGTCACCTCTAGAAATTTCTATTGAATACTTCACTAAAGTGCCACAATAATGTAATGTAGTTTTTTCACACAAATACTCATGGTTTTTTATGAAATCAGCATATATTTCTGCCACCCCTTCCCTTTCTGTCTCCATGGCCAAGCCCTGAATATTTCTCTAGATCCACTTCTGTTGACTTCCAAACCATCTGTGATGACACAAATCCTGCTGGTAGGCCCCGCCCCTTGAAATCTGATTTTCAATGAGCACAGAGAAACTTTCCACTTTCAGCAGATGGATGTGAAAACAACCTTCTAGTGTGAAAATCTGCACCGACACCATTCTGCATAGTGAAGATCAAACATCACACTGCAGCTACAAGAACGAAAGCATATTTTTGAGTGAAGGGCGACTTTAAAAGCTCTGCTTTTATTTTGAAAACAGACGCTTCCGGTCTGGTTGTAGCTAGCTCAGACGCCGCAGGGATGTCTCATGGCAGATCAGCAGCCAGACCTGAAAGTAAAACCAGTCGTAAAACTCCTCGCGCCTCTGTGGCTACCGTGTAACTCCGATCTACCCACGCGACGTCGTTAACGTGAGACAACAAGCGGCTCACAGACATGGCGGAAAGTTAATTAGAAGCGACGGGCTACTTGTGCTGTTCCGCTGCTACAACTTTGCTCAGTCCAGCAGCCGTTCAGCCGCGACCACACCCTCCCCGCTTCCTCATAGTACTGCAGCGGGAGCGCGCAGCACGACTTTGAATCTCTGGGAATAACGGCCGCTTCTTCCAGCTACGTTTACGGTTTCGTGGCCGTGAACCTCCAAAGCCAAGTGAGTTAAATGTCCAAAGACCGCTGCCTGGTATGGATATGAGAAGCGAGTCCCCACAGAGGATATGCGGGACTACACGGTCTCTGGTCCCGAGTTAAGACGCGGAGGAGGAGGAGGTGGAGGGCGGACAGACGGACGATGCATATGGAGGCGAAGCGACCGGAGCAACTGCTAGCTTCTAACCCAGGGCTGTGTTTGAAAAAGAAGAGGTTGAAAGTGGACTGAGTTGTTGGAAAGTCGCCCTCACGGTGGATTTTACTTGGGAGGACTCATGAAACGATGGTGCCGGAGGGGAACCCAAGTCTTCCCGCTGTCCAGAAG